CAAAGCCCAAGGAAGAAAGTAGGGGCAGGTGGGTTGTGCATTGCTATGCTTCAGCCCATAGCAACATGATTTATGAGCTTGTTTTACCTGTTAGATTAAACTGATCATTTTATAATTTCATAATAAGGTCCTGAAATCTCAATGAGTTACACATAATCTGTTCACCTCTATGATGTTCATCATCATGGTGTATGCTATTAAATTTATTTTCAAAAATGCCTACATAGAAGAATCCCTTCAGAAGGAACTTACACAAGCTGGTTATCTACTGCAGAAGGCAAAACAAATTAGTTCAGAACTGGGTGCTGTCACAATTCTCATACGATGCTCTTTCTTTTTCCTAAGTAATATGTCACATATGCCTTTTGATCTGGTGGAATGTAACTGAAATCTATAGTTGCCAGGTGGCTTAACTACAAAAGCAGAGCAATGACTCTTCTGGTCAGTGGAGGTCATGAGAAGAAAAAAAAATGTTTTAAACTTAAAGAATTCAATAGAGGAATTGGAATTTAAGAACCAAGGAAAGAAGAGTCAGTTTAGGTGAGCATTTTATATAGTCTGATGTGTTCTGAGGATTGAACCCTTAGAGGGCAAGCTCTGCATTCAAAATGACCTTGACACATTGGAGAACTATACAGACACAAAGGAATAAAGCTTAGGCAAGGTAAGTGCAAGGTTTTAAGTAGAAGAGGCTGGCTAAGTCACTTATATAAAAGACAAGAATGTTGCCATTTTATGGAGAAGACAGAAAACATTCCATGACTTGACCAATTTCCTGAGAATAGAGTAACCAGAAGAGAAAGCAGAGTGATTCAATAATGGATTTAAAAATAGGCTCTGTGAGGAGGAGCTAAAGGAACTAGAGAGATTTGATCTATAAAGGAAACTTTTTGAGATAGAGTTAGTAAAATGATCCTTTGTTTTTATTCTGGGAATAGGATATTTTATCATGTTTTTTTTTTTTTTCACGTGGCTAAGACAGGTTGGGACAGAAGGAAATGAAGAGCTGTCATTCATGAGGGCTTAAGTAACTTACCCAAGAAAACATAGGAAGAATATATTAGAACCAAGTTTGGGTCTCCATTAGATTGATCCCAGTATCCAGGTTTTGTACCACTATTTCACGTTGACTTTATGTTGGTGTTTTTATTTGGCGTTTTCCCTTATTTGTGCAAGTTACCAAGGGTTACTGCTTTTAAAGGAGGCTGTTAAGATGAAGTCTCATGACCTTGAGTTCAAAGCTCCAGACACCACACGTGTCTGCTCAATTCAACATCAACACCGGCTGAGCTTGTCAAGTCCCACAGCTTTGCCATGGGATTAAACTGAGAATGAGTTATCACCAACTTTTCTTTCTCTACTACTTGCTTTATATTTTAACACCTTAGGAATGAAGCCCAAAGGAATTTATGTATTGTCGATTCCATTAGGAATTGAGCCTCATCTTGGCTAAATCTTGAAAGATATGTTATATTCTGCATACCCCTCACTACTTTAATGCACAAACCTACTTTTATAACTCTTTATTCAGTCCAAGTAAGACAGAGCATTGCTTTCAGTTCAAATATGCATTACAATCTTAACCTATACTCAACATATTTATATTTTCTATTATAGCCCCATTGGAGACCTTGCTTTCTTATGATTTTTTTTTAAGTATTGGGGATCAAACCCAGGCCCTCCTGAATGCTAGGTAAGTGCTCTTCCACGGAGTTACCTCCGTAACCCTTCTTTTGTTTTTATCTTGCTACAAGGTCTCCCAGATTTCCCAGGCTGACTCTGAACTTGGAATCCTCCTGCCTCAGCTTCTCAAATGGCTGGGATTAAAAGACCACACACCCAAACTGACTTTTCCTTATCATTTTAACATTTTTTTTTTGATGATGGTGGTGGGAAGAGGATTTTGTGTGCAAGTGTGTATTTTATGCATAAATGAAGAGAAATTGTTAATTGTAGTGGAGAAACAACAAAAACGTTTAATGAAAATGATTTTGACTATTAGTGATGGAGACATAAAATAGAGAAAAAGGGGAGAAAATTAGAAAGAAAAGAGAGGAGAAAGAAACAAGGAATAATAAAAATAAATAAATAAATAAAAGAAACAAGGGGACAGAGGAAGAGAAAGAAGGGGGAAAGGAAAAGATAGTAAGGAGGGATAAAAACTGGACTTATCCTTGGGATTGTAAATCCTCATTTTAGATAATAGATGATACAGTTTTGTAGGCATCTATACATATATACCAGATATGACAATGTATACTTTAAAGAGAGGTCAGTATTTGGATTTTTAAATGCAGAATTGTATGCAATTTCAGGCAATGGTTACACAGTGTTCTTCCCATACAAAACTAATGCTGCCTCTTATTTGGACTTAAAATCAGCATATTACTGTGATGCAGCTAACATTGATGTTTATAGCAGCTCAACTCACAATAGATAAACTATGGAACCAAGTTGCAAACTGAACACTTATTTAACCTAGGTGAACTTCAACAGATGAATTTATAAATAAAATGTGAGATATAAACTTTTCCATGTACACACACACATACACACACACACACACACAAAAAAAAAATACCAGATGATGAAATACAACTCAGCCTTAAAAAAGAATGAAATTATGGCATTTGCTGCTACATGGATGGAGCTGGAGAATATCAGGCTAAGTGAAATAAGCCAATCCCCCAAAACTGAAGGCCGAATGTTTTCTCTGATACGCAGATGCTAATACACAATAAGGAGAGAGTTTCAGGGAAGAGCCGAGTTACTTTAGATTAGGTAGAGGAGAAGGGGTATGGGGGTAGGAAGGATAGTAGAATGAATCAGACATTATTACCCTATGCATATATATAACTATATGATCAGTGTGATTCTACATCATGTACAACCAGAAGAATGAGAAATTAGACTCTATTATATATGATGTATCAAAGTGCATTCTACTGTCATGTATAACTAACTAAAACAAATTAAAAAAAGGAGGAAAAAAATACATGCATTTTGACACAATGTTCCAGAAATAGGCACGGGTTTTCATGTCATCCGTGTCAATTATCTGGTCCCACTTGTAACTAATGACCTCCACTACTGAGACTGGAGTTAAGATTCAGTTAAAAAAAAAAATTCTATTAACAGAACAAACCAGCTGGTCTATGCAGGGATGGAAGCTCAGAAGTTAGAAATCTGTACCTGTCCGTCCGTTCCAATGGTGCCTCCGCAGTCAGCGAGGAGCTCTGACATGTCATAGTAGCTGACAAACTCCCACAAACAGGCCTCCAGGTTGAGGTTCCGGTAGAAGCGTAAGGTGCCGTTTCCTCTGAGAGGTGAGCTGTACTGGTAAGGATACGACTCTCCAATGACTTCTGGATTCTTCGTGGCATCCGTCAGGAAGCCATGGTGGGTCTTCACCTCAGTGTAGTCCAGGAGGTTGGAGCACTTGTGGTTCCCAACTCTGGTGCCATCGGGGCTGAGGGTCAGCTCGAAGTTGGAGAGCTCTCTGGTGGAGATCACCGGGAGCATGCCTACAAGGGAGCATAGGAACCAGGGTTTTGTCTTCTTGTGTTTGGAACTGTGTTAAATTTATCGGATTTTTGGAAATGTGTTAAATTGATTTAATTCTAAAGAGTGCTGAAATTGTCCGACTTTTCAAAGCTGGGAGGAAAGAAGTCCAGAAAGACACAAAAGGACTTGAAGTTCAAGTTGCAAACTGAACACTTATTTAAGCTTTGTTATTTAGGAGGTTACATCAAATAAACCAGATAACGAGGAGCCCAAAACTCTTCCATGGGGCTCGCTTACCCAAGTCACCTACCATCTATGTGTGGCATGGTGACTGTGAGCTTGATAAGGTTTGAGTAGTCCGGGTCCTCGGGCCCTGTGTAGCGCAATTTAGCTGAGAACGGTTCAGCCCCCACTACTCCAGGCACACGGGGTTGACAAAGACCTGGAGGAAATCAAACACATTTATGCTGAAAGAAGATAAGATCTAAAAAATATTTTAAAATAAATGTTATTATTTTTCTACATCCTTCACAATTCCCCAGGGACTACTAGTTAAGAATGTGCATTCCAAGGAAGCTGAACACTACCAGGTGAGAGATCATCACAGCACACAGCTGAGTGGCCTCTTTACATTTTAGAGACTTTAAAAGGTTTGAGAAAAAGCAGCTGTTATTCAACATGACTTAATACGCACCAGTCATTTTAGATCATGAACATATTCCAAAAATAATTTTAAATATATAGTACTAACAGAGATAGTAAAAAATGACTGAAAGCCAGTAGGAAAAAAGCATATTTAAATAAAGCAAATTTGAGTTTTACCCTAGAATAATATCCTAATGATTAGTTATAAAGTAGACATAATTTCCTAGTGAATAAAACTAAAAATGTGCTCTTTTTTTTTCCATCCAATGCCTAGATGGAACCCAGGGTTTCACCTTGGTAGGCAGGTGCTTGAACGCTGAGCAACATCCCCAGATTCTAAAAAAATGTTTTAATTTTAAAAACAAAAACTAACATCTCCTTAAAATCAGAGAGCAAACTGAATATACCGTAGAGTTTTTCTCTTTTTATGTAATTTGTTAGCATGTGAGACTAAAATGCTGGATTTTAATTTCAAGTGAACTGGGAAATATATAACTTCTTTTCTGTTCGTACACAACAGAGAAAATAAATAGGCATTTATTAGAATAGTGGTAAAATCAGAGGTAGGCCCCAGAATCTGGGCTTTCTATTTTCTTAATGAGGACACTAATTTTAAAGTACTGTTTAATTTTTTTTTGAACCAAAGAATAGTTCAGTTTTAAGAGAAATTTGAAAATCATACATCATAATCCATTTAGAAGAGAATGTGTATTATAAGTGATATCATATCAAAAAAATATGTGATCTTGAGTATATAAAGGTAGAAAGTGGTACTTTGGCATATATTACTCTTGTTTATCAGCAAAGGTAATTGTGGTATGTGTGTGGGGACAGACAGGGGTGCTTGGGATCACACCCATACTAAGCAAGCACACTACCACTGGCTTACATTCCCAACCCTAAATGTGCTTCTGAATGCTGTATGCAAATAGAAATTTTAGAAATTGAATCATATACATATAACTTAAAAAATCTGATTTAGAGCTGGGGATGTAGCTCAGTGGTAGAGGGCTTATCTGGCATGCGTGAGGCCTTGGTTTTGATTCCCAGCACCAAAAATAAAATAAACAAAATCTAACTTAAAAGTTCTTGTGCAAAGTGAGGAATTAGTTAATAAAGTGGATTTTCTGTTTTTCCAGTGTTCTCCAGCCATATCCTACCCTCTATCCCTAATGCATTCTTAGCTTTAGCTCCAAACACAACCTCTCTTGTAATAAAAATGTATGAGCCTGTGCACATAACTCTCCACCTGGACTATCTTTATCTTCCTGTTCCCAGAAAACTCCTATTCATCCAACAACCAGCTGAGCTCCTTGTATGACACAGAAACCCCCCGTTTAGACATGGCCCTTGCATCTCATCCTGCTGTGTGTCGATCCTTCCTCCTCTTCTCTCATACGTTCCCCCATTTCTCTTCTGGTCACTCCTTAATTCCATGTTCTTTCATGCTTCTAGAAGTCATCACTTCTGTTTCCAAAATTCATTTTAAGCTTTTCCTCCATGAGGAGGCTTTCCTGATCCACCCAGGGCAGAACTAATCACTTCTATATTTGCATTACAGTGTTTTACCCAGACTCAAATTTATCTGTGTCTTCAACATTCCTACGGACTCCTGGAGGACTAAGATCTTGCCTTCTTTTCTTACATCACCCAAAATTGCTCACAAAATGAAGGACAAATAACTTTTTCTGATGCATATTTTTATAAAAAGTAGATTTTCATTTGGAAGTAGAGTAGTATGGAACACACTGGACATTTGGAAAAGTTAATAATCACGTATTAGACATATGTAACATTCCACCGTGTTCCGGTGATCTTCATGCCAAACACATTGCCTCACCTTCTTCCCTGGCAATGGTAACGATAGGGCTTGTCAGCTCCAGACCTTCATTCCCGTTGGTGTTCACAGCACGAGCCGCACACTGCACCCGAGAGCCAGGCTGAAAGTATATGGAGTCTAAGGTGATCATCTTGGATGATGTAAAAAAGGTATCGAAGTCCACCTCTCTCATGGGGCTGGTCACACCATCAGGGCCAGCAGGAGCGCTAATCAGCCATCGGTAGCGGGTCAGAGTGTCGTTGATGTTCTCACTTGCACAAATAGAGCCCGTTTTATCGTAGTCTGAATATTTGGGGTTGCAAGCCTGTGAAAACAAATAATTGCATCAGGACCACAGTACACAACAATGTGGACATCATTCCTTTCAAGTCCTCTCAATCCTAGTGTTTTCAGTGCTCCCCACCCCCACCCCCACTTCCCTATGCTGTTCATGTCACTTCCAAATTTCTATTCCCGGTCACGATAGCGTTTATGAACTGTTAAGCTTGATTTCAAACGGCATATGGGGCTTTTCCACCTGTAAGCGGATACATGTAAAGTATCCAATCATATCATCTGGAACCCTCAGAGTGGTCAAATTATCCTTATCTCCCTCCACCCCCCCCACTCCATGGAAAAGGTGCTAAAGTCCATCTGTCCTGCGGGTGACTGAGGACCGTTAATCTGCTGTTGGTAGGTGGCTCCCTTCCTTCCTTCCTTCCATGTCCAGTGGATTAGAGAGTTTTATTATTCTTCTTTTGCCATGACTCTTACATTGGTTTCTTCCTTTCCATTCCCACCACCACCTCCTCATCTAATTCAGTTCTTTCTTTCCAGTCAAGTGACACATTACTGCCCTGCCAACTCTCCAACATCACCCCTCCAATCATGAGGTCCTTCTATGCAATAGCTCCCTGCTATCTAACCAGTGAAGTTCATGTAGAACCTTTATAATTTGGCACCAAATGGTTATGTATGCTTTCTTAATTCAATAAGCATTTATTGCCTACCTATTAAATGCGGGTTGTTACAACAGGGCTGTTGTGATAATAATAAAAAAAAGCAAGTCACAGTTTTTGCTCATAAGGAGTTTATAATGTTATTACCTTATTACTCAAGGAAAGGCAAATTAAAAAAAATAATGATGACAGGCCATTTATTCTTCTCTTCCTTTGGCTGTAGTTTGTGTTTTGATCACTTACTTTTGAATGATCTTTCTTGAAATTCTACCTGACCATCCTAAATCTTCCTTAATAGATGCAGCTGCAACTCTGCTTCCTAGTTTTCATCATTCCTATGATAATAATCACATCTTCTATTAGAGATACTCTCTTTTATGTATTTTTCTTTTTATTATTATCTTTTCTTTTTCTTTTCCTGCAGCACTAGGGATTGAAGTCAGGCCTCATGCATGCTAGGTGAGTATTCTACCACTGGATGCACCCCAACCCCTCTTTTCCTTTTTTTTTTTTCAAGAATTGTGTGTCAAGTTCATGGTTTACCTGTTTTTCTATTAGTGACATACTCTGGGCTCCTACTTGATGTATACATCAGTTAATAAAACTTTATTAGGTAAAGGAAGAAAAATGGGAGCTTCGTTTAATGAATGTTATTACCTTTTCTTCTTTAAAGGTCAAAGTTTAAACCTTGGAGTATTTTCCCACTTATGATAATACTGATTAAAGTGTATAATTATCCTAATTAATTATAATTTCACTCAGTTTTGTCAACTTCTTACTGTGACGCAGATGATGGGATAGCCCGACACAGGTCCTGCACTCTCCTTAGCTTTGGCCGTGTCGTCATACATCAGCAAGGACACAATTTGAGGGACAGAAGGAAAAGTGACATCTGCCATGCTGTTCATTTCTTCTATATACACAATGGCCTTGGTCACCTAGAAGGAAAAGATAATAATAATTGATTAGCAAAATATTAGGTGAGACTTTTGGTGCTTCTACTATTTAGGACAAAACTCATGATGCTGGGCAAACTCGTAGGATCATTGTGATGAGAACTGTGGAGCCACAGCCCATGCAGAGTGATAGAACTGGGGCCCTGACACTTGTCTCTTGTCTTGTGTCTCTAGTGGGGGACACCTGTTCTTAGGGCAGTAAATCCAGATGTTGATCAGTGGTCCCTGAATATTTGGGGTCCAAGTTCTTTTTCCCTTCTATTGTGATGATAGTGCTAAATCTATCCTGGGGTTGGAAAGTGGAAGTTCTAAGAAATCAATTATTTGACAGTAGGAGGAAAGCTGCAGATACTCTGAGTGAAGGGAGACCCTCTAGGTCATGGGATAGTGTAGGACATGATGAAGTGAATACCAGTTAGAGGTAAAAGTCTAAATGAGCAAAAGTCAGAAGGCATTGCCTGAAGCCCAGAGAGGAGACAGAAGCCCAAAGGGAAGATGAATTCCAGACATGAGGAATCTGAGCGCATCTGCACTGGGCAAGGTGACAGAAACATCTTGCTATCAATGCTCTGACTCCCAAATAACTTCCAGTGTCAAGTTCTTAAACCTAACCTTATATGAATCGATGCTCTGTGGCTTATAGAACGTTTACATCCCATAGGGCCATTGCAAGTTGAAAATACTGTAAGTCAGAAATGTATCTAACCCACGTGACCTGGTGAGCATCATAGCTTAGCAGCAAAGTGCACTGCAGAGACTCAGCTGTTCCTGATCACTTGGGAAAAGGCAAAAGTATAAATTTGAAGTATGAAACTACTGAATGCATAATAGTTTTACAAAATTGTAAATTCCAAAAAATTGTTAAGTTGAATCATTATAAATCAAGGATTGTCTATGTACCTTTTTTTTTTAGTTGTAGATGGACACACAATATCTTTATTTATTTTTATGTGGTGCTGAGGATTGAACCCAGTGCTTCACACATGCAAGGCAAGTGCTTTACCACTGAGCTACAGTCTCAGCTCCAGGGATTGTTTATGTACTTTTAAGAGAAGCTTTTATAACTGGAAGTGATTTTAGTGAATCTTTATTTCTTTCACTAATCCATAAAAATAATAATAAAGATTCATTTTATGTGTAAAGACATAAAAAATGTTTGATAAAGATTTTCCATCCAAACTTCTTGATTATAAGAAAAATATTATAAAAAAATATGACTTGAAAAAGAGTAACACAATGTAGCAGAAACACCTTCAAGCAATAAAAATGATAAAACGATAAAAATGTTTTAAAAAAATATTTTTCTCAATTTTCTCCAATTTGACTTCATAGTAATGAGGAAATAAATAATAAAAGCAATCGAGTGAGTTTAAGCCTAGATTTTATTAAAATAGATATGTTCCTAAAAGGACATGTAATTTAAAAAAATATTTTCAATGTAGAAGTCAGAATTCTGTGGAAATTACGATGGACTTGAGGACATCTGGCTGATGATACAGTATAAATTACATGAGTGTACAAAACCGGTTTTAGGACTGTAACATTTTAGACATGAAGCTCTGAGCATCAAATTCTAATCCAACTAGGAGAAACAGGTGGGAATTTTGATGGTTAGTCAACTGTTTTGTGGGCTAGAATGTATGCTTTAATGAGTTATGGTGCTGAATTAATATCTCATCTTTGTACCAAGATGATGCTCTTTCTCACTTTTCCACGTTCAGTCACTACTGAGTGACATGGAAATGGTACAGGGTATGATATGGGGCTCAGTGACTCCATGCCTGAAATTTCTATAAACATGATTTGTCAAAAACAGAGAGATTTCCCTGGTTATGATCTAATCAGAACAAAATTTATTTCAGAGGGGAAAAGGGATTATGTACGTCCCTTTCATGTAAGGCTTGTACCAAGTCTCATTAGTTTATTGTATACTATTTGATTTCTTAAATGTGTTTGTTGGCCATGAGTTATAAAAATCAAATTACTCACCTGGGTCTCTGCTATCATATTTTCATCAGGTTTTAAGTGAACAGTGAAGGCCTCTCTCATCTCTCTCACCCCATCGAAGATTACTTCAATTTCAACAATGTGCTGGGTTTCTCCTTCCTTAAACTCAATTTCTACAAATACAAAATTACAGATATAAAAGTTTTGAATATGAGTAAGAACATTTTTAAATAAGTCTTTTTGACTGTGGTATACAATGAAAAATACATTTTACCTTGTGATCCAGTAAATTTGTGTGTGTGTGTGTGTGTGTGTGTGTATTCATGTGCATATAGGTGTCAAAACACAAGATTAACAAACATCACTTACTTTTTATATTGTACTGTGATATATTCTGTTCTGTTCTACTTTAATTTACCCTATTCCCCACTTCTCTACACAAAAGGAAGTCCTAATTGTATATTTCTAAATTGATTCGTTGATTTACAATTTGAAAAATAATGCTGAGTTATGGTATAATTAATAGTTCTTACACTGGGTCATAATCAGACAAACTCACCTCTCATTTCCCAGAATTCCTAAACCAATAGCATCAAGGGTATAATAGTGTGTCAATAGTATTTACTTTACATATATGTAGACAAACTGGATAAAAAATTGAGTTTTCAAATGCAATATAAAATTATATTTCAAAAATATTTCTTTTTGCTTTTTTTGAAACCTAGAAAAGTTACTACAGATAAATGTTATTAGTGACTTTTCCCCTCACCCTTTTCCTTCTCACTAAAAAGAATTGCTTTATTATCATGAAAGTTAAATCAAATTATCAGAATCCTTTTTTAAAACCGTTTCTTTACAAATTTAAAAATTTTCCTATCATTGGATTTTATTGAACTCATTATTGTGCCATTGGCCATATGTTAAACTTGAATACACAATTTTGTTGGATTTTTAAAAAATCTTTCAAGAAACTGGTTTAGAAGAAAAAATATAGAGAATATAAAGCATAATCATTCAAATTAGAGGAGATAAGAGTTGCTTTCTGATGTTATTGTATCAGAATCCTATCAATTATAAATTTATAATTCTATCAGTTATAAATTCTATCAATTGTTATAAATTTAGAGTCTGGCAGGAAAAAAAATGCGACTCTAGAATATTTTTTTTCTACTTCAATTCTTTTATTATCAATGACAAAGAAAACTGTTTTCTTTAAAATCGAATTTGTGAGTCAGACTTCTTTACAGTTAGCTCTGTTCTAGAGATGGCATCCCCCATGCCCTTGCCCCATAGCCGTAGCATGTTCTTCAACCCATCAGTCCCAGGCTTCTTAGACCCTGAGATAATTTATGGTTCTTGTTCCAAGGGATAAGATTTAATTCTGGCCCACTTATTTGTTTTTAACTTTAATTTTTTAAAATAAATTTTATTGCATTTTTTTAATGTATACAACATGAGGTTACAAGATAATCTTCTTAGTTAGACTTGTGTGATGTGACAATAAAAATTTTAGTTTCTGACACTTGAAAATCCAGAATTTTCAAAGGAAACTATGGATTTTTGAGCTCTTTTTCCCTTTTATGCACCAATTTGTTTTAATTAGTCATAAAAGTAAGCAATAAAATGATCCAATAATTTTCAAAAAGAGAAAAGTGGAATGTACCCAAAGAGGCTCTTACATTCCAGAGAACTCGGGGTCCCTTTCACTGTCCTCTGTTAGCACAAACTTTTCTAGCTTTAGATTTTTATTGTGGGTGTTCTCTGAAACAGACTATCATCATGGCCAATAGGAAATTTACAGGAAAATTATTATTTAACGTCTGATCACTAGATGGAGATAAAATCAGAGAGAGGAAAGTGAGATACCAAATAGATCATCTAGGTCTTCTACTCAAAATTTCCCCAAGTCCTACTACATACATCCTGCAAATCAAAAGAAAATCCTAGAAATAAACTCTGTTCTTTATTTTTCTAAAGAAGATGAATTTAAAAGAGGGGCTGTATTGGCTGCATTTGCATTTCAGCTGAAGCTTTTCTTCTTCTCAAGGGCATAGCACCGACACATAGCAGTGCTGGCACGACCCACCTGGTGACAGGCCCTGGGAGCCCCGTACCTTCTGACACAGGGTGATAGTCTTCTCCGGAGGTGGCAGAGCCATCCTTGGTGTGGACTCTCACAATGGAGACCTTCGAAGTGTCTCCTTGGCGAATCACTGGAATTTCAACCACGACTGACTCTCCTGGTTCTCTGGGTTCGGTGACGCTAAATTTGGTTTCTCCAAATTTGATAATAGTCTCTAAAATTGTGGAAAACGGACAGATTAAATTGTTAGTTAGGGGATCACCTTTCTCCCATTCCTAATGTTTCCTTCCATGTGGGAGGAGAGTAATTACTATTGCATCCTGGCTCCTCTCTGTCCCCTCACTCAGTGTTAGTTTCGAGTGTGAAAAGTGAAGCTGCTAAGTTAGCTCAGCTCCTTTCTGGGAAGGAACCAACCCCCAAAGAACATGTGCTCTGGGATGTCCCTTTGTGCCATAAATATACAGGAGCAAACCACTGGCAGGGGGTAGGCAGGGAGTAGACTGTTGGCTCAGGAATACTTGTACCCGAAGTGTGTGTAAGGAGAGGACCAGGGATGAATGTTGGGCTTCCTTATCTAGATATAAGTCACAGTCTCCAAAATCAATTTTATCAGTTTGGTTTTCTTCTTTTTTTTTTTTTTAGTATTATTATTTATTTTTATTATTATTTTTATTTCTGTGCTGGGGATTGAACCCAGGGCCTTGCTCATGCCAGGGAAGCACTCTACCATTGAGCCTCATGCCAAGCCTTCAAACTTTATCAGTTTTAATGATTTGTTTTGCTCTCCATTTTGTCTTAGTCTTTTTCTTATTTCTCATTTGCTTTCAAATCTTAGTCAGCCAGTGGGGGTTATTTGCTGAGCTGCCTAAAACCTCAACACGGATGGATTTCACAGATGAGCGTGAGCAAGGACTTCTTACTATCAGCATCGTCTCGGATCCTTATCAGAGTTTCATTCTGTTCACCAACGGCAGCCCCAAAGGGAGAGCTGCTTTGCGGAGTGCCAAGTACCAGGCGGAGCTCTTCCACCTCCTCGTAGAGTATGTCATCCATCAGCTCAAGGACACATGGCTTTTCAATCTCACCTGGAACAAATAACAATAATAGCAGTTCAGTCACATCCCATAGGCCAGGAGCCATATGTCACCAATTAGAATTAAACGTCACAGGAGCAGGGGTGTTACTTTCCCCTGTTGTCTCAGGGGAAACAATAGAGTTTGGCATGAAATAAGCCATCAATAAATATTTGCCGAATGAGTGAATAAATATTTAAACACATTCTATGACTAACCTTATTCGTACAGGGAATTTTCTTAATGTCTGCTTTAAATTCTATCACTCATCTTAGAAAACAAAGAGGAAAAAGAGCATATGCCAATTTTGCTGAGGAATTTCTAGCATTCTGATTAGGAAGCAAATTGAGTGGATTTGTATTAGTTGATTATCATTAATTTGACCACAACACTAGTTTCTAGTATTATTACCTTTTGTCTTATTAAATAAAGCATTAAGTCAAGACCAATTAGGTCCCAGCCTCTAATGAATAGGGCCAATATTATGTCCTAAATTTTCCTTCATCTCATTAATAATTTTTAAAATGGTTTTTAATGGCAATGAAATATACTATAGTATAGATGTTCAAATAAATAGTTCTCTAATTGTTGGCCATTTATTTAAGTTATTTACAGTTTTCCCTTACAATAAATGTTAGTTTATGACAAACATCAGCATAAGTAAACTTTTTAACACATTTATTATTCTTTAAGAATATATTCTTATAATTACTGGATCAAAATAATCAAATAGTTTAAGGCACTGAATACATATTTAAAATATGAGGTTTATTTCATTTCAAAATGAAGTTCAAGTCCCAGTATTGTGAGATCTGCTCATTTGATACGTTCTTGTCCACCTAGTTGCAAATAAACAATATAGCACTTCCTTAGGAATCAGTGAGTTAATACAGAAACACAAAGCACATTCATTCAACCTGTCTCAGCTGCTTCATCTTATCATTGAGTGAATGTGAAAACATCTCACAGGCTTGAAGTCAAGGCACTTGTATTTCCCAAATGCATACTTCTCAACAAACACTTGCTTTTCTTAAATTCCACATGAAACTTCCAAGCTCTGATTTACCAGGGAGGAATGTGATGATGGAGACGTCAGTGTTTGGGCGTTCTTCAAAGTCCATCATCACCTGTGCGGACCCCTGCCGTGTATAGCATCGCACTGAAGACCTGTACTGGATATCACCACTCCTGTGGATCATAGCAGCTATATGCCCATCACTTTCGCTGCCAGTGTAAACTCGTTCTTTGAATTGCATCTTAGGCACTGCAAAAACAAATAATCTTATGGATCAAAGTGAACAGAAATTTCCTCAAGGACCATGGCATTTTGAAAGATGAGATACAATGGAAAGAATAAGAGAAAAGAAATGAGAAGTTAGGATCTGAGTCTTTACTCGGTCATTTGCCTATGTTTTGAAATTGAAATCACTTAACTTTAAGATCTTTGTTTTCCTTATCATTGAAATTTTGCTCTGCCTATTTTGTGGAATAAAGATATGCAATGAAATGATAAAGTAGGTGATATGATTTAGATATGTGGTGTTCCCCAAAAGCTCAGGAGGGAGTCAATGCAAGAAAGGTTACAGGTGAAATGATTGGGTTATGAGAGCCTTAACCTAATCAGTGTGTTAAACAGGGGATTTCAGAATTTCTTGGTATGAAGAACACTAAATATTATGCACTTAATTACAAAAGGTTCATGCAGACCATGCTGAGAAAGTTGACAATGAGTGTGCACATATATAATTTTTAGGTGGCACATAAATTGGGACAATTACACCTGGGTTTCATTGGCAAGCACTTTCCTCTAAGCATAATCAGAATCATCAGGGCTGACATGTTCAGAATTCCCTTGTGATAATGCCTCAGAGAGCTCTGCCATGTGTTCATCGGCCGGTTATCATAGAGCAATATATTTGGCACTATATTAGGGAAATCTAAGGAGTGGCTGGGTGAAGGAAATGAAAGTGTCTTGTGGGTCTTACGAAGTGGGAAAAGAGCATTGAGTAATGGTCTGCACAGCTCCATGGAGTTCTACCCATTTGTTGTGGGGAAATTCTTGGGATACAAACCAAATACTGACGACAACACCACTGTTTTCTTTGAAATTTGAGAAGTCTAAAGGATTCCTTCTAAGATTTTTTCTATCAAAATGATAGGAGGAGAAAGGAGGATGGGGCCTGCTCATGTATATGCCTGGGCTGCACCTATGTCTACCACTGCCCCTGTCACATTCACAAGTTGAAGTCCTAACCTCTGGAACATTAGAATGTGACCTTATTGGTAGGCAGGGATTTTACAGAGGTGACCAAGTTCAAATAAGGATATTATTGTGGGCCCAACTCCAAGATGACTGGTGTTCTCTCTCTTAACACAGAAAACTGGACACAGAAGATGATATAAAGAGACAGGGATAAGAGGGCCACCTCCCAGTCAATGAAAGGGTTCTGGAATACCCTTCCTTTGCAGAACTCAAAAGGGACCAAGACTGCTAGCACTTTCTGGCCAATGGCTCCAAGGCCATGAGACCATCAATTTCTGTTGTTGAAGTCCTTCAGTCTGTAGTCTTTTATCATGGTGGCTCTGGTAGATGAATATAGGAATACATAGCTTATTGTTCTACTTGGGAATCATATAAACCCTGGCTTATCATTTTATATTTGTAAAATTAACAGGCACTCACAGTCTGAGACAGAGTCATTTATGAACACCGTGGCTTTGCTGGGCTCCCCAAGGACAGCATTCACAGGCATACGAAGCACCAGTTCAAATTTCTCAGTTCCCTCCAGCACTGGTTGTCCAAGGTCATCCAGAATGATAACACGAACAGTCTGCATGTTGACTCCAGGTGCAAAATCTAAATTGCGACTGATTCCCACATAGTCTGTCCCAGCTATGAGAGTAACAAAAGGATTATTCAGTTAAAAGATAGACAAGAAATAAATTATATAGATATATTTTATTAAAAAGAGAGACAAGCATAATAATACAGAAAAATACTTGAATGAAATGCAAAAGATTAGTAGTATCCACATTGGCTGTTGAGGGGGGTGAATCAAAGATCAGGTTCTAAACTGAATCTATGTATAATGGTTGAACTTTGGATTCCTTATTTTAGCTTTCTGCATTATAGTTCCTCTGTCTTTATTAGAATCCTCTAATGGAGCTAATAAAAA